AGCATTTCATTTCATATTATTTTACAATACAGACATTTACATGAATATATTCATATTTTTATTGAGCAGAAGGATTAATTTATATTACTAAAACAGACTGTTTGAAATATTTTACAAAAATATCTTAGATTTTCTTGTACATATGGTACTGCATTAACTTTAAATGAAATTTTAAAAAACATGCACAAAATTTTTCATCAAACTTACCAGTTCATCTGTCAACAGATTTAATAAATTAATCAAATTCCTACTGGACACTAATGTACGAAAAGCATCTGCAAATTCATCATCATGTAAAGTTGGGATTTTCCTCTTTAAATCCTCATTAATTTGAGCTTTCATAGATAGCTTTGAAGACGACAGAGCACGAACTGTTATAGGACAGAAAGAGAAAAACTAGTCAAGAAAAGAAAGAATAAACATAACTTCAATATTAATTTATATTCAACTCAGTATCTCTAAATGTGTATCTTATTAGGATTCCATGCAGTAAAAAATGCTACTTGCAGATAATGATAATCATTAATTTAAAAAATAATTACAATATTTGAATTAAATATTATCACAAAATAAGTAAGTGAACATTTGTCTTATACTATTACAAATAATTCATATCTATAGACTACGTATTATATTTTGCTTTTAACAAAAGATAACTAAAACAATACTTGTTCAGATCCTTTGAAGATGTGAATTTTTATCATTTTTTATTGCAATTCTGATTTTGGATATTTCCTATTACTTAATTATATTAAAATTAACCTTCAATAAGCAATTTCATTGTCCTTGAAGCTTTTTTATACAAATGATTTATGAATTATTCATGATTTATCCCATTAAGCATCAATGAATTCATTTAGAATAATTCAAGATAAATATTCCCATACTTATATCACTAAAGAACAATCATATCATCACCTGAAAATGACTTATAAGAATAAATTATGCAAATGAATAACATATCTTTATTAAAATGTCAGAAATTTGTTGTTAAGTGAATGATGAAAAAAGGAATGGTAATTTAATGTGTAGGTAGGATTATTATTTCCAAGATGGGGAAAGGAAGAAAAAAAATGAAAACTTAAAACTGAATTTCATATTATTTTGCTTATTTCTCATACTACTTTTTTTTAACACTTTAATCTGAGGCAATGTTAGCCCCTGGAATTCGAGAAATCCTTCTTTAATATGGCATGCTTATAACAGTATTACCATTCACAATGGTTCAACACACAACTGAGAAAGCTCCTGAGTACATATGATAAAATCATTAAGACTCTAACATCATATCATATAAAAAAATAAACCTAAATTAAAAAAATCGTGGTCAGGAGAAAATTAAAAAGACCAGGCCAAAAAAGGAAGAAGAGCTAATTCCTCTGCACCCAGCCTAACATCTGGAGTTATATTTCCTAAATAAAACATAAAACTGAAGAGAGAACTTTAGACGAGCTCCATAGACCAAAATTTATAAATAATTTTTCAGTTAAAAGCAGACAATCAAAAATAAAAAAGCTTTCATAAAATACATAGAAATCAACATTCTGCTGAAGAAAGCTCAGAAGATAAGTTTGGTTTGGTTTGGTTTATTAGATTACGGCCAAGCACTCGAGGGCTATTTGCCTTAAGGTAGGGATGCCTTCATGGAGAACCTTTTAAGGGAAACTGGCTTGTATACACGTTACACATGGGGAAAACCACAAAAACACCCATGCAGGCAGCCCGTTCGTGGGATTCGAACCTTGGACAGGGTTCATACACATTTCTGCACACAGAAATCAAGTACTTTTAAGGACTTTTAAGGACCATTATGAAAAATTACGGACTATGAGCAAACGGACTGACTACATTCTTAAAATATATTTATGCCTGAATTTCACTTTTGTCATACCATCCTAAAAATAAAATAGATCCTAAGTGTTCATATTACTAAACTGAATAACTACATAATTATTAATAGTTTGAGAATAAAATAAACGTCATGCATTATCAAGTAGCATTAAATATTTTACATCTTATACTACTTGCACATATTATAAGAAAATAGTGACATCTACATTTTACTAATAGTTAGCTTATGTGATTTTTTTTATGTCTCATTTTGTCATAGATTTAGTCAGTCTAGAGGTTTAGTAAATACAGGAGATTTTATTCACATGGCATAGGTTAAAATGAGAATTAAGATTAATCAGCATATCATAACAAAGACGGAATGTTGTCGCTCGGCGCTTCTCTCGGATAGACCGCTGATTAGAACAAACCTGAAAGGTCTTGTAGGCATTGTTGGCAAGTGTTGAAAGTTAGCAGGCCTATTATGCAGTCAGTGTCATTGCTTGTGTAGATTCATGGTGTAACCCGTTTTAGTTCCAAGCCATTAAAGCACCAGAGTGATAAGTAGTGTTTATTACGGGGTGTTTCATAATCTCTGGAGCAACTTGAGGGTGGTGAGCATACTAAAAACATGCATTTTTTGTGTATAATAATGTAGGGTCTAAAGTGACAGGTTAGAGGCAGGAACGCAAAAACGACACGAGAGGAACTGTTATTCAAATTCGCAATAAACTAAAATTTTTTTAATTTACTCTGGCTATCATATGAGGAAACCGAATGGGAAGTTATAGAAAGGCAAATCATAACAATTGGGTAATTTACATATAATACTGCACTATCTTTGAAGATAATTTTCTTTATGTCTTCGTTTTCTTTTTCAACTTTTTCCTTTAATTTTAGATTTTGGATTTAATACGATTCTGTTACGTAATAACACTAAATGATGTAGAATGTAAGAAAAATAGCTAATTTTATTCTTTAGTATATAAACATCAGAGAAATGAAATATAATGTAAAGGCCTGTTACAGACTGACGTGGCAGAATTTTTAGAATTAGTGACACACCGAACACACAATCTAGAAATGGCAAACTTTAGAATTTAGAGCAAACATGGAAAACAGAATTTAGAAGGGCACTAGGAAGCATAATTTAGGATCCACAGAGATTGCATCAGGTGGAAAAGCCTAGTGCCGCTCTGTGTATGATGCTTAGTATGCTCATACCGAGGTGCACTGTGTTGATGTATGATATTAGATGAATCTTTTAAATTGTAAGTTTTCAGTTTCTTTATTAATAAAAAAAAATACCTTTCTATAATGCCTGCCCATGTCATAAGATTAGAAGCATTTTCGATATATTCCATGCTTGTGTCTAGTAAAATGTAAAGAAAATAAAGGGAAGACAAACATGTTAAGGTTCTAGTATCAGAAGTAAAACATTGAAATATTATGTTTTCATTGTTCTTCCAGACGTTCTCAGTGAGAAATTTATTGCAAACTTTCTGTAAAACACACCCATTACGTGTTGATACCACGGAGACATTTTTCATTTTGTCACAATTTCTCGAATCTTCTAGAATCGTGAGTTTAAATCTTGCCTTCAAATCCTTCTATCTTTCCAGCTGCAATGTAAAAATACTAATGAAAAATTATCCACCAATCTGTAACAGCAAAAAGCCAGAAATATTTTGGGGGAAAAAAAAATGGAAGACAAGTGTAAAATTATTTATATAGAAATTGATGCATATTCGGATTTTGAATATCTGAGAAAATTACATTGAAAACCGCTTACTATAAAAAATTAAAAAGAAAACATTTTAATTAATTACATAGCTAATTTGCTTTTAATAAGAGCTGTTTTGTAAATTATGCTTTATATATTATACCTTTTTATTTTCAGATTCAAAATATTGTATGAAAAGTGCCAAAATGAAGCTTTATAATATGACAGCGAAAATAAAATGTTTCATTTAAATGTTATTTTTTAAATATAATTCCTATATATTACCATTATTTAATGAATTATCATGTTCTGATGTTTTAAAAAATCTCAAAAAATTCTCAGATCTCAGAATAAAAATTTCTATACAAATGACTAAATCGCCAAATGTGACAAGCATCAATTTAGAACGTTATAAAGAATTCACAACCCCAAAGCGAAAATTGTTTAAGCTCGTATTAAAAAATGAATTTTGAAATGCTCACTTCTTGCTAGACTCGAGTTCCATCATTTTATTGGAAATAGAAACAAATATAACCCTGACCCATCAAAAGATACCAAAGTCACTGAATCGCCAAAAATATCCTCCAACTGCTCTCACACTCAACTGGCAGTCATAAAAACCGACAGAAATTTCAGATGATTAAAATTAAGGACCTTCTGATTTTCGCCAAAATTAAGGACTTTTAAGGACCAAAAATCGATTTAAAAAAGGTATTTTGCTAAGCATGCCTCAAAACAATGCAAAGTACAATATATCATTATAATGTAAGCAATTGCATTTTATTTCACATTTTTACTTTTTTTATTCAGCAAAAGAAACAACTCTTTCCCCAACATTTTACAGGCAGTCTACTAGTGGCATTTTCTTTATACTCAATATACTTAAAAATTATAAAAAAGTATGGAAAAATGAAATACTTTTTTTAATATCCTCAGGCTTCAGAAAAGACCTAAAAAGTAAGGAAGCTGTTAGAAAATAAGAACTTAACATAGTAAAATTTTAAATAAACATCCACAAAATGCATTAAAATTTTACGTCTTGGTAAATAAAATCATTGTTATGTTGTATTTAATACGGTCATCTTTAACTTCCAAATATTTTCAAATTTTCTGCAGTAATAATGATTTTAACATATTTAAATCCCTTCACGATGGATGTATCATATATGAATCAGTACTTAATCCTCTTATGCAATGGCATGCCATAGCACAACTCATCTCAGAGATCACACGTTGTTATAGTACGATCTCGCAAGAAAAGGGTATTTCGTGTCACTACGCCTAACTTTTTAAATAACATTCATTAAAACTATTTTTTTTATCAATTTTCTGATTTTTTTCTGTAATAGTATCTAACAGTAATATAATCTTAAATACAGAATATTACGAGATTATGAAAAAATTTTAATTAAAATCTAAATGCAAAATAAAATATTTGAGTCATTTTGATGAAATGTCATAAAAAACTTACTTAAACCTATATGAAACCTACTATAAAAATAATAAATAATAATTAAATATATAGCATAAATGATTCAGAAAGGGACAGTGTGTGACAATCTAGTCACGTTCTTTCAATAATCGTCCTGAAAAACATTTTCAGTCGAACTTTTAATTATTTCCAGCAGAATTATTAATCCTAGGAATTCCCTCATTTTAGGCACATCTAAAGGAGTATGCTGATTTTGGATGAAGATGGATTGTTACTAATCTTTTGCTCATAGAACTTATTAGTTTCTTCAACTATTACATTCATTAGATTATCGAAAAAAATGATGAAAAAATAAATTTCCTTCACATAACTTTGAATTAAGTTTACTTCTGCAATTCCCATAAATTCATAAGGCTTCAATTACTTAACAGATCGAGTTCATGATGGAGTAGTTAGTGTTCTGCTGGATTGTGAGTTGACAGCAAAACAAACTTCCAATTCAGTCTTCGGCAAAATTTCAATATCAAAATTCGTAATTTTACTTAAATCTAGAGTCTTCGGTGTCAAAATAAACACTCATGAGCTTTACAATTCAAATATACTCTTCTTCCGTTCTTTCTCTTAGACATCGCACTATTAGTTTAACTCTCTTAAATGGCACGAAAAATTTACATCCACTATCTAAACAAGATGCAAACTGAATACAAACCAGAGTTTTTAAAACCACAGTTTAACCAAAGAATTTGAATTGGGAAGCTTCAACGCAATGGAGAAAAATTCAGTCTAAAATGCGTAAGGCGTCGACCAGCTTTATAGGCATAAAGACAAACCTTGAAATTCATCCACAACTGCAATCCCAAACCATCGGTAATATCCGAGAGGTAAGAGCACTATATTAAATGGTTTAAGAAGTGAATTTTTTACCGAAAATTTACAATTCTTATTTCTTTAATCTTAGAAATATTTTTAAGTTGTCAGCTTTAATTTCGTTAAAAATCCATTTCATGACATGAGAAGGTAATAAAAAACATCTTATGTGATAAGCAATTGAATTGGAAGCTCATTGGAATATTTTATTTTAAATTTATAACCCAGATTATTAAAGAAAGCAGGAACATTTGAAAGTATCTCAGCATGAAGTTTTCTTATGCAATGTAGATTATCTGCCTTACTTTTACGAAATAATGAATGCCCAAAATTTCTAAAAACCAAACTTCATCAAATCCCTCAAATTTCAACATAATGATGCTAGCCTGGACAAATTAAAATGGACAATCCTAAAAACCTCCTCTGAAAAGAACAAAATAATATCTCACATAAGCAATTCCAAATTAACTCTTATCTTAAAACCTGAATCTTACTCTGACACAGTAAAGCAGTACTCTGAAACAGTAATTTAAACAATTAAAACACTAACCCCAATAAATTTTTTTAAAATTCTTTTGCACAATGAAAGAGCTCTGAAACATCTTAGGAAGCACTAAATCATCCTAATTAACATTTCTTAGTAACTACTTAACAACCACACCCGAGATATCTCGGGAATAGATGCTGTTTCGAATTTCCTATGAACGAGTTAACTCGGGTGCTGAAAATTTTACGGATATTTAACGCCATCGCCCGTAATATTGGGTGACGTTTGACACTCTGCCATGCACATATTTTCTTAGCTGTGGGAAAGGTCCAAGCGGCTTTTGTGATTGGTTCCTCCATGACCCTGAGCAGCAGTCGACGACGTGGCCGCATTATAAATAAGCTGTAAATTCAGTTTGTTTTGTTAGCTGATGCAGATTACCAGATTATCACCCTGTTGCAGACTGTGATGTGGTGATGTGCCGCTATGTGTTACACCATGTTTCAGACTGTATCATACTGTCAATGACATCTGTAGATTGTAAGATGTATATACTTTATTTTTATTTTAGCTCTTATTATCTATTATTACCTAGACTACAGTTTTGTATTACTTTTAGTTAGATTGTGTTTTTATTTATTTATTTACATATTCTGGCTACTTCAATGAAGCCCGAGTTTACTCAAGTAATGTCATGAACCATAATAAATACCTTGTTTTTTGAGTCGATTTTTTTTCACCTTACAAAGCTACTTCTAGTGAGCTATATCTGTAGATACTACACTGTTCTAAACATTTGTCCCCCTTCAAATGTATAAACGGATTTTGGCATCCTTTTTTTTGCTTATATTTCTGAACCCTGTAGCAGCGCGGTCAGAATCCGTTCCTTGTCTTCACTAACACCAAGCAGTTCAAGGATGTCGTTTTTTTCATTCTTTTATCACTCCTAATAATCCATTAATCTTGAGGTATTACGGCCATCTCTTATCATAGACATTAAAAGAAAGCCTCATTGATGATGACTCTGACAGTAGCCTTAGTAATTAATGTAACCATTATTAAAGATTAGCACGAACGGATTAATTGAAGGAAAAGGGGGGCGGGAAAATGAAGAAGAAGAAAGATAATAAATGTACACAAAGTACATTGCAGAATAAAGATTTGAAGTATAAATAAGAGCAAAAGCTAATTTTCAAATAGCAGATTTATGCTTCGCACTTCACTAACATTTCAAGTAGAAAGCATTTCGCCAGCACCCTGCACGTTTGCTTCACCACATACTGGCTTCGATTCGAAAGTTGCTTGAGACAGTAGCGTCTAGCCTAGCATGGGCAATAGGCATATTTTCAGCATGGTAACCTTTGTTGCTTGGCCAAAGAACATGTATGTGTGTTTGATTTGGCAATGAATTCAAAATTAAGATTTCAGCGATGCGCAAGTGATGTGCTGCGGAATGTGCGAAATTTGTTAACTTATTATGCAAGCAATTCTTTACTGGGGATTTAAAAAAGGGTATGGGTAAGCTTTGTTCCCAAATATGCAAGAATTTATTTACTGGGAACTTGAAAAGTATATGGGGAAATAGACTTTATTCTTTTTTCACTCGTGTGAATGCTTATGAACTGCTTAAATTACAGCTGTAGGTTCTTATAACATGCAATAATCAATTAACCATATTTTACATTTATTTCCAATTTTTTTTCTTTTTTTATATATTTCATTTTACATTCACAGTTATCACAAAATTTCTTTTCAAATTCATGCTTTCTACATTGGCATGTCTCACCTTAGGCAAATAATTCTTGAGAGCTTAGCATAATCAATTAATTTAACCTTATTTTAGAAATTTGTTTTTTATTTCATATTTGCAGTTATCGTAGAAGTTCATCTTATAACAGGCATTCAGGAAAATAAGAAACTTTGGTCCTTTCTTTTCTAATTCTTGATTACATTATCTTACTTCAGTGGTAATCCAAAATGTAATCGAAAATACAAACATACAAAATTACCTTTTATACTAATCACGCTAAATATAAGAAATCAGTAACAACTTGACTTCTACAACACTTCAAGCTTCTTATTCAGGCTTAACTTCTGCAACATGACAAAATTTAATCAAATAACAACATGTCTTTAGTTGCCAAACTTATGATACATCGCCAATTCTGTATAACGAATGCCAGCCAATAATGGCAATGAAGCTTGACATTGCACATGCGTGAAGCATAAACCATGCTAGGGCTAGACGATACTGCTTGAGGCTAGTCAGGCTGGTTTACATTATATCTACGAGAGCTTGCCTTCTTCTCCCCTTCATATTCTTTGGCTCCACTCCAATCTAGCCACAGGGGAAAAAAAAAATAAAAATTAGAAGCATTGGAAACTGTTCAATGTTTATATCATGTGAAGCCTCAACTGCACATCAAATAGGTGTTGTTTACTTTATATCATCTGCTTGTACATCTAAATGAATCACCAGAATCAGAAAGTACTTTATGGACACAAGGTCAACAATACATATATTTAAATAAGCTAACTATAGTGGACATGGAGTGCTATCTAGTGATTTAAAAAAATTCCAAAAAATGTGTATGTTTGAAAGTGCATATATGACACACGCATCTGGAAGATCAATGCAAGCAGCGATGCACCGGTGCATCACCTGACTGCTAGTGATATTTGGACCTGATGCATATATGACGGTGACCAGACAAAAGCCCACAAAAAAGACCCCACTGGGATAATTGTCCCCGCGACTAATACTCACACAGATCAAAGCGCACATTAATATAAGCACATGCTGATAAAAGTCCACACTGACAAAAATCCACACTGATATATATGCTACATTAAAATTAATATTTTCCCCCTTTTTTCTTCAGCTTCACAAAGCAGATTCATGAATAAAAATAAATGAATAAGAAATAATTGAACAATAAATTAAGTAGCGGAAACTTCATTTTAGTCTCCGGCTGAATTAAAATTCGTATATATATAGAACAGAGAGTCAATCAAAATAATATAATTAAAAACATATACATGTATGTGTAACTTTGTTTCTATATCTACGCGACAAATGGAAGTCCGACAAAGGGAGGTGAAAGGGAATACTCGCCACACTGCTTCTTTTAATTCTACAAAATTATAGGGAGTATAAAATGTAT